GTCGTCTACTATATATATATATATATATATATATATATAGTCTTAAAAACGGCATAAGGCAAAAATGAAAATGAATAGTGTTTCGCCTCGCGATGACTCTACGAGCTATTGCAGTTTTGCCTGAAAGTCGCAACCGCCGTTGTGGTTTCCCATGTTTTTTGCATGAAAAATCGACCGCTGTGGTTGATTTATCCATGCCGTCCAAAAATTTGGACGGCGGCAAGCCTATGGGCGTAAACACTGTTCATTTTTGCCTATTGGCGTTGCGCATTGACTTCCATATATATATATATATGATAGCTTTTTTATCATGTTACTTGTTAAGAACTTGCTTTCCTTAGCTTACTCTTAATGCTTTCGATACAAAAAATCTGAAAACTTGCTTGTATCTTTGCAGACATATGTTTGCTTCTACCTCTCATGGGTAGATCAATCCTTTCAGAAATAGAATATCTCAACTTTGCAAAAAATCGTGCATCACTTGTCATGGATCAATATTTGGTACAACACATCACTCTCTGGTGCCATTCTTAAGCTCAGTAAAGTTTTCTTTTGATCCTGTAAATTTCATATGCTGGAACTGATAGTTTTAGGCATTGCTACTTATTATCATTTATTTTGGTGGGCTTCACACCCAACAGAAATTGAAAACCATGAAATGTTTAAAGATTCATTAAGTTCATATGGGAGAAAATTTGATGTGCTCTGATTTTCAATTACTCATCTTTATCTTGTGCAAGTAATGTATGATTTCTTCCATTTATCCTTTGTAAGATATCAGAAATTCCTGGTTTACTTTCAACCTCGTCTGGCTTTTATTACCTTTCAAAGGAACCCAAATTTCCCTTTCCAATTTCGAGAAAAATTTTGTTTGATTTAATCCAAACTCAAAGCATTTACAAATTCTCCCTTAATGTAAGTTAAAAACTTGTTCCGCTTTACTCTTTATTGGAAAGCATGAAGAAACACATAATTTTACAAGTTGATACTTGCAAAACCCAACCCCCAAGCAAAAACAAAAAAAAAAACCCGTAAAAAGGAAAAAAAGAAAGAAAGAGAAAAAGATAAAACTATCCAATTTTTGGTGAAGGCATCAGACCGAAAGAGAGTTTAAACAAGAAACAACACGTAATTAATAATGATACCTTATATTTCCAATTCTTCAGATTAACACTATCCTATTTTTGTTAGATGAATCAATTAAATCAAGGATGATAATAATGAGCTCTTCTCTCTGTCTTAGAGAAAAATTAAATTAATAATGACAATAATATTTACATCAAAGAAGATTAGGAGAAGCTGCTTTCCATGAAGCTCTCAAACTCTTGGAAATCGATTTTGCCATCGCCATTCTCGTCGAATGCTTTGATCATATTTTTGCAGTCTTCGAGCTTGGTTCCTTCGTCGAACCCCAACTTGCTAAGAACCTTTTGTAGTTCAGATGGGCTTATGAACCCATCTCTATTCTCATCAAACATAGCAAAGGCCTCCTTCAATTCCTCGGAGCTGGGCTCCTGCTCCTCGAACAAATTCGAGAATTCCTCCCGACCCATACGCTCGATTCTCTCACTAAAATGGGTTTCTCTCTCCTTTGCATGTCTCGTTAGTCCAAGCCTCTCCATCACTGTATCGATATCCTCAGCTTCGATTTCGATGTCTTCTACATGTGGTGTAATATTAGTCGAGCAAAATTTAGAGTTTGATCTCCGAATTTTGGTTTCAAGCTTTGAGATGTTTCTTTCTTCAAGAGCCTTTAATGTAGAGAGAGATTCGAGCTTGTTTCTAATGGAGAATAGTAAGCCAGAGTAGAAATTCTTAAGCTCCACTACCAAATTGCTGTAAACGAAGAGGAGCCAGACAAAATCTAAGGATGAGAGAGAGGGTGAAAATGTGTCTGCTGCAATGGTCTCCATTGAGGTTGGTCTGGAGAGAGAGAGAGAGAGCAAACACAAGTTGAGGATGACATGGGAAACATGTAATCAAAGGTGGTATATATGGGTGCTTTGAAGGCATGAAATTTAAGCATAAAGCTTGAAGAAATCAACACGGAAAACGGTTGTAGGAAGCTGCAATGTTGGTGCAATAGTGAAGAATGCAATTTTGGCCGTTGAAAGAGCGGTCGAGACATTCTCTTTTGCGTAAGAGAGAGAGAGGGGAAAATGGGCTTTTAGAGAGAGAATAGTTGCCCTTGGAGAACGGAGGATAAGTAGTTTTTTTTTTTTTTTTTTGAGTGGTATGAATTGAGCCGAGGATATAGCAGTGCAAATTGTCAAATGGTAACCAATTAAGTCCAAGTCTGGTGGGTATTTTTAGAGGGAAAAGTTTATATGAGGTTGATTCCCTAAATAATCAAATTAAAGTGTATTTAAAAAATTCACTAGAAAGAGATGTTTCGATGTTGAAAATTCCTCAAATCCAACCATTTCGATACTCAAATACGTGGATTTTTTTTAAGAAAGATTTTAAATCTGAAAAATAGTGCATCTTGTAATGTATTATCTAAACTGTCAATTTTCAATATTTTCAAGTGTCCATAGATCTACTTGATCTATATTATTTTTGAAGCTTTAAATTTTATAATTAAATTTTAAATAAATTTTTAAGTCGTCATAAAAACTTTCAATACTAAAGCGATCGATACTATTCGAAGGTGAGTTTTACTTTGATCGTTTAGAGCCTCAACGTTATATAAACCGCACCTTTAGAGCAAGGGAAAGTGGGTTTTAGAGATATAAGAGAGATAGGAAAAGTGGGATAGCAATGGGGTCGGGTCCAGCTGGATTCGAACCCAGACCTAAATTTGTTTAGATTCAGGTTTTGGACCTGTACCCAAACTCGAACCAAACCTATAGGATCCAAAAGTTAGACCCATACCCATATCCGTCGGGTTCATTGTCATCATCATTATGAGTTTTTTTTATTTTTTAATATCATATATTCATATTATTGACAACAAGATCATAATCATACGTCACTATATCGTTTAATAGCTAAAAATGACTATAAATTTTTATTATATATAATCCTCACTGCACTCAGGGTTTTAGAGAGAGAAAAAAAAGTCGTTTTAGAGAGAAAGAGAAGGGAAAGTGGGTTTTGGTTTGACTGAATCGCATTATTCGAAAAAAGTAGGTTGAGGGAGAAAGCTAGACGCTTTGTCCTTTTCGTAGAAATTTAAAAGAATGAAGGCCTGCGTGTTTTTTGTTTAGGGTTTGGTTGGGTACCTTACCTTCGTGGGTAATGACGGGAAGGTTCGTTCCTTGAAGAGGGATTCAGAAGTTTCCTCTTCACACGGTTACGGTTACGGTTACGGTTAGAGAGGGATGGAGAGGAACCTTTTCTGTTTGAGAAAGACAGAAAGTGTGGACTCGGAGTGAGACGAATCAGAGCAGAGTGAAAAGTGCCCAAGGTTAGGACTGGTTATTGAAGTGGCTGTGTTCGGTTAGAATCCATTTGTCGGTTGAATTAGTTGGACTTTTTTAAATAAGGTGAATAAATTGGAATCCATTTGTGGGTTGAATCAGTTAGATTTTGTTAAATAAGATGAACAAATGAATAAATTTAAAATGGAGTAAGTATGACGCTCAACATCCAACTCCACCAGCAAGTTGGTTAGTTTGAGACTCTGAGTGAGTGTGTGGACGAGACTATTCAAATCTACTTCTTTTGCACCATATCTGCATATCTAATATAAAAAACTGAAAAAACTTTGATCTAATGCACTCGTATAAAATAATTAATAAATAATAATTAAAAAATATGAAAAAAAGGTTGTGGCTTGTAGAAGGTGTCATCTTTAAACAATTCAAGTAAGATGTACCTCATCTAATTATGAAATTTAAAAATTAAAAAAATGATATAGATCGGGCATATAATCTACCAACACATGAAAATATTGAGAAATGATGGTCTAGATAATATACCATTTTGGGACTTTATTATTATTATTATTTTTTTACATCTCGAGGTTGAGATAATCAATTAGAGGGGTTTTCAGCATCAGAACAACATTACGATGGATGCCTTTTTTTTTTTGAGGAAAAAATTTATATAAGGTGTCAACCTTATATTGTAGAGGTAAGGTGCACCTCAGAAACCCATTGAAGAATGTTGTTTAGTCATTAGATGATCATTTTGATATGGATATGAAAGAAAAAATGATTTTTAAGTCTTAGAAATAATACATCTTATAACACATTATCTGGACCGTCTATTTTTAATATTTTCAAATGTTCGTAGATATGCTAGATCTGCACTATTTTTTGAGATTTCAATTTCATGATAGAAGTGAAAAATAGACTTTTAGGCAATGATGAGAGTTTCAACACTCAAAATATATCTTTTAACAAAATTTTAATATGCACCTTACCGTGATTGTTTAAGGTTGACACCTTATACAAACCTCACCCTTTGTTTTATAGTATAAGGTTGCAATTATATGTACACTTTTTCCTACAAAAAATTTGAAAAATTTGTCCAGTTTGTTTAGTTAGTCTATTTAGTCAAAATAATTCGGTCTGATAAATTAAAAGTTAAAATGAGTCATACATCGATTTTGATTGGTTTTTAACTCTATCTTATATTTACTTTAGACAAACCGGGAGTCCAATAAGTCAAAATAGCTACTCAAGTCTAATCATCGGACCGTGAATCTCTTTTGGCACACAGGCTCTAAATAGGTGAAATTGGTTGATTTTTAATCTTATTTTAGTTTCTTTTTTGTGTCGAAAATATACTAGGAAATATGTCATTAAAAATAATCACACCACCTCTGGAAATGGTAAAATAGACAACGCAAGCAATTTATGGATGAAATGGCTAATTTAAAAGATGGCCACCATTTCTCTGAGTCTTAAGGCTCATATGCAAAAATGAGTCACGTCTTAAAATTTCATTATTGAGATAGACTTTACACCTAATTTATTTGGAAAATATAATATCTATTATGGTGATTATTAATATAAAAAATAAATAAATTTTAAAAACTAAAAATAATAATTTTATCAAAAAAATATTTAGACCTTAATTTTAATGTTTATGTATACCCATTTGTATCTATCTTAAAAAGCAGGTTGCCTAGAGATTTAGGAGATATGTACTTTTGAGCATATATAGAGAAAGTAGTTGTGGTTCTTAAATAGTTCGGATAAAATTTGGATGATTATGACGATGATGATGATGAGATAAAAAAAGTAAATGAGGCAGATAAGTTAGCCAAACATGGAGTTACAAAGAGGGATTTGGTGGTTCTTGATCTCGACTTTAGCTTATATAGTTAATGCTATTTTTGTTGTTGTTGTTTTAGTTTACTTTCTTGAATAAAGTTATATAATTATTCAAAAAACAAAAAAAATCTTTGTGCAATATTTTATTGTGACTAATTCTTGAATATTTCCTTTTTTTTTGTGAATTTTTAAATTTTAATTCTTTAATATTTTCTCTTGCGCATTAAAGCCGTTGCAAAATGAGAATGATCGACTTCATGCATGATCTACTATCTATGTGAATTGCCAAAAAGGTATGGTTTATATAAGGGGAAAAGGTTTATATAAGGTTGCAATATTAAAATGGAGAATTAAAGGTTGTTTGGATGTTAAAAAATCCTCTAATTGATCATCACAACATCGAGATATATGAATAAGAAAAGAAAAAACGATTTCGAGCGTGCAAAATAATGTATCTTGCAACACATTGTCTGGATCGTCTATTTTCAAGATTTTTATGTGTTTATAGATCTACTTGATTTGAATTATTTTTAGAGTTTAAAATTTTATAATTAGAGATGAAAATAGATTCTCAAACCATCTTAAGAATTTTTTATATCAAAATTACATCTATTATAAAATTTAAAGATGCGCTTTAATTAGAGGATTGTGTAAGGTTGCAACCTTAACACCCTTAAATAAGGCAGCAACTTTACTTGTAAAAGTGAGGTTATAAGTAAAAAAGTGTAGTTGGCACACGGATGCATCCGTAGTTGTAGAGGTAAGGTGCACCTTCAAATTTTATCATGGTATATAATTTTGATGTAAAATGTTCTTTGGATTATCTCAAAATCTATTTTTATATCTAATTATAAAATTTTGAATTTAAAAAATGTTTAAAATCAAGCAAATCCATAAACACATAAAAATATTGAAAATGAATGGTGTATACGGTGCTAAATGCATTATCTCTGAGTATTTAAATTTTTTTTATTTTTCATGTTCATACATCTCGATATCGAAATGATCAATCAAAAGGTTTTTCAACATTCAAACTACCGTTTCCGATGAATTTTTTAATTACATCCGTAGTTCTACATTATAAAGTTGCATCCTCATATAAACTTTTTCCTAAGTAAAATTGCGGTGTTCTATACTACATATTTCAATTAGACGGTATAAATTTGACACATCTTCTTAAACAATATCATTCCTGCCTTATATAAAACTTTTTCCTTACACACCCATCATACAATATTTTAGTTAAAAAAATTTGATTAAAAATGGTTTTTCAATATTTAAGAGAGTGCGTTTTTACTATTATTTAATTTTCCAATAAAGCAATATTACCTTCACCAACCAGCAATAACATTAAATCCGAAATAGTAAGTTTACACCACCAACCAACAAAACATAACATCATGTTACCAAAGCAAATCCAAAATCCACGTTCTTTTCGCATATCCAAAATCCACGTTCTTTTCACATGATCAATAACATTTCCTCAACTAATTTCCAATTAATATGGAGTCGGCTACACAAATATTCAATAACACTTAATAAATACAATTATTCATCTCCAAAGCTCCTCCCCTTTTATTTCACAGGAGCCGATCAATTGTTCGAAAGCTCCTGCAGGGGAATTTAACCAACAAAAAACTGAAAACCCATTACTCTCTCCCTCTCTCTCTCTCTCTCTGTCAAGCAGAGGCAGCAGAAGCTGATTCCAGTAACTCTCTCTCTGCCCTACTCCTAATCCTCCTCTCGAGCTCGGGCCTGAAATGCCTTATCAAGCCCTGCACAGGCCAGGCTGCCGCATCCCCCAAAGCACAAATTGTGTGGCCCTCAATCTGCTTAGTGATCTCTTGAAGCATATCGATTTCTTCGAGCTTAGCATTCCCAACCTTCAACCTCTCCATCATCATCCAAAGCCACCCCGTGCCTTCCCTACAAGGTGTGCATTGCCCACAACTCTCGTGCTTGTAAAAATACGATAGCCTCGCGATTGCATCAACAACGTCAGTCGACTTGTCCATCACTATAACAGCGGCTGTACCCAAACCGGATTGAACAGCTTTGAGCGCATCAAAATCCATCAAAACATCATCACAAATGTTTTTTGGCAAGAGAGGGACCGATGAGCCACCAGGGATTATAGCCAATAGGTTATCCCAACCTCCTCGAACCCCTCCACAGTGCCTCTCGATAAGCTCTTTGAGGGGTATGCTCATCTCCTCCTCGACAGTGCAAGGCTTGTTCACATGGCCCGAAATGCAAAAGAGCTTCGTCCCTGAGTTGTTCTTTCGACCAAAGCTCACAAACCACTCGGGGCCCCTGCGCAATATGGTTGGTGACACAGCCACTGTCTCAACATTAGTTACGGTGGTGGGGCACCCATAAAGCCCCGCATTTGCAGGGAAAGGAGGCTTAAGCCTTGGTTTCCCTTGCTTGCCCTCAAGGCTCTCCAATAGTGCCGTCTCTTCACCACAAATGTAAGCACCAGCCCCAAAGTGAATGTGTACATCAAAGTCATAGCCCGAGCCACATGCATTCTTACCAAGCAATCCAGCCTCATAGGCTTCTTTTCGGGCCTTGAGGAGGTTGAGCCTCTCATTGACATACTCACCCCGAATATAGATATAGGCTGCACTAGCTCGCATGGCAACACCAGCAATCAAGCAACCCTCAAGGAGTTTATGAGGGTCATGACGCATAATTTCGCGGTCTTTGCAGGTTCCCGGCTCACTTTCATCAGCGTTCACAACAAGGTAAGAGGGGCGGCCATCAGAGACCTTTGGCATAAAAGACCATTTGAGGCCTGAAGGGAAGCCGGCACCTCCTCGTCCTCGAAGACCTGATTTTTTCATCTCGTTGACAATCCAATCAGAGCCTTTGAGGACGAGGTCTTTGGTTCGGCACCAGTCACCCCTTTTCATGGCTCCTTTGAGGAATGGGTCATGCATGCCATAAAGGTTGGTGAAGATGCGATCCTCATCCTTGAGGCCACCGAAGTGAGTTTTCTCGGGGGGAGGTGGAGGGGGTGGGAGCTGGGGAGTGCTTGATGTGGTTGGGGCTTGCGTGTTCAAATACCTATAGAATGGCTTGCAACTCTTCCTACAGTGGTGAGTAAGTGACGACCTGGGAAGTGAGAGAAGGCTCCTCATGGGTCCCTATTAATAACAAAGGAATGGCGCTATGAGTTAGAATTAAGAAAAATAAAATAGAATTAATAAGGAATCAAAATTTTCTTTAAACAATATATTCCCAGTATTAAAAGGAAACCATTAGAAGTGGTTATTTAATCAAGAACTCTAACAATACTAGATATTCAACCTTACAGAGCCAATGACATGGAAACTGGCAATCTCAAAGAGGAGGATGCTCAATCAGTCCCAAAATCTTCAATGCCACCAAGTATTGAAGATCAAAGTGAGTCACTAAGAGATTCAAACAGTCAGAATTTTGCTTTAAATTAAAAATTGATAAACAATACAACCGCAGCATTCCTCGTCTAATTCCACGTGAAACAATGAGAAAACTTCAGTTCTAATCTACAAACCACTATCAATGAGTCCCCAGACCCTAATAACATTTCGCGTTCATATTTCCCAATCACCCCCGACTTTCTGGTCTCCAAATGCTGAGTCGGTCAAGTTTCATGTCAATTTGCAAAAAGATACCATATGTAAGATCATGATGATTTTTCCCATCATTCTCAAAGCCTACAAGCTGTAAATCACAGACTATGAAGTGGGAATGGGACCACTAACCAGGTGACGACTGCACCAGCTTTATAGAATCAAATGGATCACGACATCCATTGACATACTTAGGGCTAGGGCTGCTACATGGCCAGGGTTGGGCCACAATGTATAAAACATATAATTATTTTTTGAATGTTTTAAATTTTTTTTTGAATGTGTAAACATATAATTATAATAATATATTATATTCTATTTATTTTTCGGCCAACTCCGCCATCGCCGGTCCCAAGCTAGTAATGCCGGTCCCAAGCCCGGATAAAGTAGGAGGGTTGTGTTGGTAGGGCAGCCAACATAAAACTTTGCTACATCTTTTCATGAATCCTAAACCTATTGGTAAATCAAATTTCATGTAGTCAACCCCAAATAGTTGGGATAAGGCTCGGATAATGATGATGATGATTTATTCTTTCCCCTGCCCCGCCCCAAAGAAAAAAAAAGGGCCTACCAAGCCTGGTCCAATTGACAGCCATACCTGGGGCTTTGATAGTCACTTGTGTGTGCCCCAGCTAATGGCTTCTGTCCACAAAATTCCTTTTGCATGCAGGATTAAAGAAAGTATTTCCTGTTTTCAGCCCACATGCAAAGTGGGGGGTTGTGGGGTAACATACACACACACACTTGTATAAAATGGATTCTTTAAGTGGTTTCTAAACAGCTGCACTTGCGGAACATTGACCAAAACAGAAGGACCTGAAACGGCATCTAAGAATGGTTCCAAGGGCTTCCAAGCTGGCCATGTGGTTGCACAGACATACAACAACATGCAAAACCCACAGGATAAAATATACACAGCATGCAAGCATTAGCACAACCAAATTACAAAGGTCCAACACAACTAAAAAGGCTACAACAATATATTCTTTCGTGAGGTGAAGTGGGGTATCTCCCATCCACTTCAGAGATGGGTAGCTCAATCAATTCAAGCTTGGGCGGGAAGGGAAGTTAAGAAAGGCCCTCCAGGTGAATGACATAGAGCTCTGAGATGAATTTGGGAGCAAGTAAAATAGCATTAGGAATAGCCAAATAGGAGGTCAGGTAGGTTTTCGGGCTAAGCAGATGATAGATAGACAACATGGAAGACTATAAAAAGAAAGTAAAAACCATTTTCACAGTATAACCTTACACATGATTATCAGAAAATAAAACAGGACCACGAGTGGGGCACCGAAAAAGTATGTAGCAAATACAAAAATCATATAGTGAAAACAGCAAGCACACAGAAAGCCCACAACAAGCAAGTCAAGCACACCAAGCATACAAGTGAAGATGTTGGCAATACAGCAAGCTCTCCTTGATCAGAGGCTTACACAGCGAGCTCTTGATGGCCAAACAAGCACAAAAAGGAAAAGGTAGGAAGTGGTTTATAGATCAAATATGCGAGCAGCAGGCAGGGTTTGTAATGCAGGTGTCGGTATTTTCATACCCGATTGTCTAGTGTGTCAAGTCTGAACTCTTGATTCTTGTGGTCATAAGGATGTCCTCTTATGAGAATAGAGCAACACTACCCAACAAAATAAGGAAAGTGAACAAAAGCTGGTTTGTGACAAAGCTGTACATATGTGTGTGTGTGTGCATAAAAACTTCCCTTAAGCTAATTTACACAGAATTAGCTCACTGCTAAAAACTCCAAAAAATAAAACCTATCGAGGAGATTAAATTGACCCTGAATTTTGCACATACACTTGAACCCCAAGAACAATCTCAAATAAACAAATAAATCATCATCATCATCATCATCTAGGCATTATCCCCGTTATTTAGCTTCAGGATTCATGATAAGATGTGGCAAAGTTTTATGCTGGCTGCCTATGCAACGCAACCCACCTCCTTTACCTGGGCTTGGGACAGGTTAAGGGAAAGTTTAAATATAAACAAAATACAAAAATCCTAGAAAATGGATTCCTCTAGGAGAGAGAAAATTCAGTGGACGCAGCTGTCAGTTTTAGATCTCCGCCTTTAAGAACTCAAAATCAAATTTTTTGTTTTAAATTGGTCAATTGAGGATGATGATGAGGACATCACCAACATTTGATGTCAAACATATCCTGCTAAGACCTTGATCTAACACCATTTTTTCTTTCTTCAAACAGATGACCTGTAGTGATTGCACTTTTTCTCTCCTCAAAAAAAAAAAAAAAATTCTCGAGTGTATTTTTTCAAAAACTTTTATGAGCTAGTTCATAGGGATGAATATGGATTGTTTACAAAAGTTGGGGTCAAACATTTCCCCTAGATAGGTTTTATTAAGGGTTTTTGGGCCACCAACTAATGCTTTAGAAATTAATACTTGGGAGCAAACAATCCTTTGGTGCGCACGCACACGGACATATACAGAAACACTTCCGTAAGCCCCTGAGCAAAAAGCTATATGAGTTAGCTGAGTATTTGCACCTAGCTAGGGGAAATTTTGTTTCAGAAACTCTCAAATCATCTCTATTCATTTCTATGATGAATCTGAAAAAGAAAAAATGGTTTAGAGCTCACAAAGTACTCGTGATAAATTCCGAGTCCAAGAATGGCTCTAGATGTCCATTTTGTGGATGATTGAATCTAGGGTTTTTTAAGCTCAAAATTGGATATTTTCTTTTTTTATTTTTCATTTTTCTTTAAATCCTTCACAATGCAATGGATTGATGAAATGAGAATTTCTCAGTCAAAGAATTCCCCTTAGCTAGTTGTTTGGCTTTTGGGCCAAGTTGTAGAGTCTTAGCGCATGGACTTAGCAAAAATTTTCTGTATATTACACATACGTGTGCACGCACGTGTGTGCAAACCAGGGCAAGGAGAACAATCACTGAGCATAAAAGTGGTCCAGTTGAGTGCTTTTTGTCCAAATCACTGTCATGTAACTCCAGTCAGATTAGATGAGTAAAACGTTGTTTTTTGAGGCCCATGATGGGTACCTAACAGGATGGGCATCCCTATTGTGTAGAAAGTACAGCAGATAGGGAAGAGCCCAATCTCAACTGTATTTAAGGGAATGGAGAGGCATGTAAAGATCCGTTTCATTGCACTTGGTGTTGGCAAAAACTTGCTAACACATCCTTGTTGACCGTTACATGAACCTTAATAATTATTGCACTTTTATGCAATAAAATGTCCTTCACAAACTCAACCTAAATTATTATTTCCCAAACTAGGAATACATGAAAAATTGGATCGCACTTCTTGGGAGTGGTCCCAAGACATTATTAAAAGGTATGCCTCTGGAGAAAAAGGCCATGGCTTGGAGCTGACAGCTTGTGTATTACAAAATTTGAATCCTTTTAACCAAGAAGAGATTCAGGCTAAAATTTTGAGGACCAAGGGTCCTAATTGGATATCCATTAAAAGGAAACTCGACTACATCGGGATGACATTGCATCAGAAACCCTGTAACCATTTTGGGTAGAAATTAGTGCAAACCTCCTATTTTGTTCTTCTGAAAGCTAGTCACAAGTGCAAACCTACTTTTTTTTTGGGGGGCGGGGGAACTGACGTTTGAGCTTTTGAGCAAGAAAAAAAGATACATTTCGAATATTAATTTAAGAATGTAAGTTTATCAGAGATCTCAGAATCTTGAATCCACCAAACACATGGATGAGGTCAACACACATGGTAATGAAATGACAACAAGAATGAGCCCACTTTCTATTCCTTTATATACTCGATTTAAAATAACAAACTTATTTGCATTGAGTTTTTTAAAATGGGAAGCACCAAAAAAAGGGCAGCAGATTAAACATGATATATGACACATTCAGATCTGCATTGAAACTGATATCCGAAGAGAAACTCTTGTTGAAACACTATACCTATCTCAAACAGACTCTAATGCCTCGTAACTTTCAGCATACTATATCCAACATCCTTTTCGTTAGTGATCATATCAAATGAAGTTTCATTAATTGAGAATAAGAGATGTAACCATCTATATAAACAAAGCATTACTCATTGATGCATACAAGCAAAACTCCATTTGTGGTAAGAAAGACCATAATTGCAATCAGCGACATCAGATTTGCTTAAGAGAACTCTTCATTTTTTAAAACATATTTTCAACATATCAGGCATATTTTTCAAATTTGTGAAAATGTCAATCATGTTTATTATATTGTTAAAATATATTAGGTGTATATTTGCCATTTTACACACATGGGCCATTTCCAAAGTTCTCTTTCACATATTTTTGGGATTGGGTTCACTTTGCATCAATGGGGCTCAAGCTAAAGACTTCAGCTGAGGCGAAGATAATCTGTTAATAGTAATACCAATAACTAAAAAATACTAAAAATACCCTTCAAAATAACAACAAGAATAATATGTTTATACTTCTAACCTTCACACCTCCAATACTGCATATGAACTCTCCACACCAATGTTGCCAGATTCGCTTTGGAGCCTTCTTAGGTTCGGTCAGAAAAATGAAGCAATTCGGTGCATTGGCTGATTCGGGGGGAAGACTTCGGACTTTTTATTTAAATTTTAATATTAATAAAGTATATATTTACGTATAAAATATATTACAATAACAAAAAATTAAAAATAAAAATTTAAAAAATAACAAACAAAGAACAAAAGACATTTCTTTGATATTCTATGGTTAATGAAGGCAAATGTGGTTCGATTTTTTGATATCCCATGGAAGTTTAAAATGTGACCTATAGTCTTACTCCATTTACATGTTTTACTAAAGGTGTTAGTTAATAACATAAGTTTACTTGCGTGGACCAAGCTCTGGCTTTTTCCCAAAAAGGGTAGGGACGTCCTTGACTTTGTATAAAATGGTAAAGACCCTTTTTGCCTTGAGGCTAAAAACCGTTTCTTAGGTTGTAAAGATGATTGGACATCTCAAACATTATCAAAATCCCAAAAAGAAACTCATTTTTGTAGATATAATAATTACGTCCCTCGCAATAAGTTCGAAATCAAAACAGTGAACCTCAACAATCCAATAAAGTTTACATGAGGTTGCAAGTATGATATCAAGGTCGCTTTGCTTCGGCCGATGATGATGATGCTTCTTGCTGCCTTACATTATTACTATGCACTTATCTGATGATGATGATGATGATGATGATGCTTCCTACTGCATTATGTTATTACTATGCACTAAGTTTAGTTTTTTCAGTGCACACTTACCAAAAAACTTGAATTTCCTGGACCATGCTACTACATCAAATTATTTATTGAAATAATTGTTTTATCATTCATATTTATTATACAAATGACACACTATTGAACATGTATGTTGTGGTCTCTCTATTCTAAACATTTTTTTATAACTTTTTCAGCATAATAGGCTTAACCTTGCCAAAATCCAAGCACAACCTAAGACAATAAAATTTAGGCACAACCAAAGGCATGGGGAACATGCATGATGCATGTTTAGAAAAGCAGACTTACTAGATATATATTTTTCCCATATGGGATCCAAATTAATTAACTGTAAAAAAAAAACAAAAATACAGGGATACTAGTGATTCAAAATAAGGAGGTAGTCACCATCTTTCTATAATAAAAATGCAAAAAAACTCCTTGTGGTGAGTATCTAACCTATCTAACAATATAAAATAACCAAGTTTCCAACCATCTCTACTTAGATAATAACATAAATGGATTTCAAGATCTGTGTTGCCTTGGCAATCCCTTCATATTGAAAGTATCTAACCACTCTAACAACATAAGAATATTCAAATATCTTACCATCCCTATTTAGATGATAACAAAAATGGGCTCCAAGATCGACGAGACCTAAATAGGGATATAATCAATAGAAGTTCAATATAGAAATTCACAAGAATCCTATACATCAACGTTCCAAAAAGCGTACGGCGGCAGCCAGGCAGCCACAGGGCTCCTCACCACCCAAAGCCCAGGAGGGACCTGGCAGCCCAGGTTCAATAGGGGGCAGTGGGTGTCCAAGAAATCCTATTTTAGGTCCAAATTATGTATAAGAACTGCATATGTTGGCATTTTTATACATTTTTATGTGGAATCACACCAAATTCAAACCAAAGTACCATGGTACTACCAAAATACACAATCTATAACCAATTAACCTAACACAATCCATGCCGATCCATAACCTTAATCCATAATTCCATACAATTCCATGATCCACCCTTCGTGAGTTCCACCTCTTTTTAAAAAGAGGCTTTGAAACCTCATATGGGGTTGGAGGCCTTAACCTAAGCCCAAATAGGCCAATTGCTTCCGCCTGATTCATCCACTGAGCAATGCACAAACTTACTTGGTTTCTCTCATTCTTCTTGAATGGGTTTTCAATTGTGGTCTTCTTCTTTGTTTTCTCAACCGTAACTCCAAGATTAGGGGGAAAAACACAATTCATAGGCCCCTCACTCAAGGTTTCTTAGGCCTAGACACAATTGCAACTCCCTTTCATCTCCTAGTCTGGGACAAAGCCACCTGATCCACCTCAGCATTCCCCTCATCCTCACTCTCATCATCCTCAAATACATAAACCCCAACCCTTAAATCTATTATGGAAGCCTCCTTTTCTTACCCATTTTTATATTTTATCAAAATTCAAATATTGTTTAATCTCCTCTCTAATAGTGCTTGAGGAACCTTCTTACAAGGGGTAACATCCACCTTAATAGCTTTAGGAACCTTCTTACAAGGGGCATGGCATTTCCACCCTTAGGTGGGCGCACCGCCTAGGGCTAGGTGATGGGCTTCCACTTGGACACCTAGCCTAGAAGTCTCACCCAGACCTGAATGAGGTGCCTAGGCCCCCCTAGCCTGCCTAGGCACTGAGGGGGCCACTTTTTAGAACATTGCTATACATGCATAAATAATATTGAATGATAAAAGACCAATGAAACTACAATAAGTTTTTCTTGTATCGACATGTTTTATGATAATGTTCCAAGTTCCAACATTCATTTAATATCCTATTGTATCCTTGAGTTAGCAGAATATTCAAGGCTATCAATGAGTATATATATAAAGATTATTCAAGCTACCCAAAAAAAAAAAACAAGACAGCAGCATAAGAATATTGAATTTGCATTCTCGAACATCTAAAATTGCAATCTACATCAATCTCTAAGAAGCCCACTCTCTAAAAGCAAAGAAACAAGCTAATGCCATAAAAGTACAATAAATAAATAAACTTTTTGATGTATCATCAGGAACAAAATCCGCATCTTAAAACAGCAAAGAAAATATTAATGAAGAAAAACCAGGATTCCAGTAGGCAACAAGAATGCTACTTTCTCTCTCAGTAGTAAACAATGTTAAAGATATCGTTTTGTTAAACCCATATCTTTAATAACTTCTACACTATCAATCCACCCTCATTTCTAAAATCCCATTTTCTCAATCAAAAGAATTTCCTTTTTTTTTCACTAAAATAATCCAATGAATTTCTGATTAAAAAAAAAACCCTAAAAACCCAAAATGCGGGATCAGTAAGAAGTAAGAAACACGCAACAATCCAATTTCAGTGCATTACAATAATAGCTGCAATTTCACAAACTTATTTACAAGCAATTAAGGAAAAAGCATTAGAAGATACAGATTCAAAGGAAAAAGCAGGAAATGAAAGATTCAACCAAAAACCCTACCCGACTAAGGATTCCAAGCTGAATTGCGTGGTCCAAGCAATTGCAGAGGGGATCACGCTCACGTTGAAGCTGGAGAGAGGGACGAATGGTGAGTGAGAGAGGGACGGTTGGTGAGTGAGAGAGGTCCGATCTCTGAGATAGAGAGAGAGACTCTTTTCGTCGGTGAAGACCGGGAAGTACTCCGACGGTCCACTTAGAAGTTCTAGAGAGAGCGAGAGCCTTTTAGAGAGACAAAGGGAAGGGGTTGAAGATGGGGAACGACGGAATACGTTCGAAAATTAATTTCTAGGGATATAAGAACAAGGTGAAAAAATTATATAGAGCTGAGGCTCTAAACAATCAAATTAGAACCCACCTCAAAAATTTTACTAAAAAAAGTTATTTTAGTGCTAAAAAATCCTCAAATTGATCATCTCTACGTCAAGATGTATTAACATGAAAATTTTTTTTTCAAAATTTAGAAATAATGAATCTTGTAATGCATTTTTGGACCATCAATTTTCAAGATTTTCAAGTTTTCATAGATATGCTTGATCTACAATATTTTTGAAGCTTTAAATTTTATAATTAAAAACAAAAATACATTTTATGTCTATCACAAAGATCCAATATTGAAACCATAATTCTCGACACTATTTGAAGGGCGGCTCTAATTTGATCCTTATGTACAAATCACACCCTTAAATATAATTTTTAAATTTTTAAATTTTTTTAATAATTTTTAGCCTGTCCTAAGCTTATCCGGTTAGGCTGCGTAAACCGGCCCGTTCTCGAGTCACTCAGAGTCCAGTTCGATTTGCAGAACACTGATCTCAAAAATTCTCATATATAGGCAAGGTCTTCAAAGAGCGCCTTAAAAAGATGAGATGAAGGACAAAAACATAATGGTGTGGTTTCTATAAGGTTGCATGTCTCCAAATTTTGTTATAACATATAATTTTGGTGTAATAAATTTTTAAGATTATCTTAAAATCTAGTTTTATATCTAATTATAAAATTTTAAATTTTAAAAGTGGCTAAATATTAAAAAATAAATGATTTAAATAATATATTGTAAGATGCATTAATTATAGGACTTAAAATCTTTATTTCCATATTCTACATCTCTAAATGCTCAATTATAGAGTTTTTTAATATTAAAATCGTATTTTTCAATAAATTTTTAAGGTGCATCCGTAGTTCTACATTTTAAGGTTGCAACCTCATATAAACTTTTTTCCAAAACGTAAGCAACGAACGATGCTTGTAAGTGAGAATCAGATGAGACGAGAAAGAGAGGCCGCAGTCAAGGCGCGGTCTAGAGAGAGAGAGCTTAAAAAAAGGCCGCTTGAAGAGAGAGAAAGAACGCAAGCTCAGCTTCAAAAAAAAATGGTGAGGAGAAACCCCGCCTCCCCTCCAAGAAGAAAGAAGCAATACACTGACCATGAGTTCGGGTTTTTCGAAGATAGGGCGCTTTCTCTCTCTCTAAAAGAACCCACTTCCCCAAAGCCTTCAGCTTTCTCTCTCTTCGACCATCCCTTCTCAACAACTGAAGGAGAAGAAGAGAGAGAAAGGGAAGAGAGCGAAGACAGGAACCCTAGGTCGTTCCCGTACCATGTGAAGCAGAAGTGCTGGGAAAAGGCGGAGAAGATCAAGGGCCGAGATCCTGATCGGTGGCGCCGCGATGCCCTGGGTAACACTGTGTTCAGGAAGCTTGTGGGATGCCCCGGTTGCCTGTGCCATGACTATGATCACATCCTTCCTTACTCCAAGGTCACCCCTCTCTCTCTCTCTCTCTCTACACACTTTCTTTCTCTCTACCCAGTCTCACTATTTTTTTCATTTCTGTGTTTCAGTGGGAAATTAGATGGTCCTTTACATTCTCACTCTTCTTTTTATTTTGGTTTTAGTTCTTTGAGGTTCCTTTTTTTTTTTTGGTAAGTTTTTATTGTTGCAGTGTTGGAAGATTACT